AAAAAAATTATCGTATATTTTAAGTTATCTATTTTAATTATTGTATAAGTTTATAATTTCTGTCCATATAGATACAACTTTAAAAGTATCTTTTCGATACAATAAAATATAAACAATTTTAATCAGGGATTGATTTCACAAAGTYGATTTCAATAATAGGATATCAGGTTTATACATTATTATGGTTATTATCTATATTGGTATTCATTACGCGTAATACACTTGATTATTATTCATTCACGCAGAAGAGTGTGAATATAAATTACTGGTGACGAAACAAATTCAACGATCTATTATATTCAATGTCTATATGTATGGTTCAATAAAAAATGTGTTGAATTTTTCACCTATAAAGTATCCGAGATTTGAATTGCGAAGAGTAGCCGCATTGGATATGATTGCACAAGTGCCGAATACTTCATTATCGTCAAACAGCGGTACATCCGGAATAGTTTTGGTCAATAAATGATCAATGTCATTTTTTTYTAATGTTCTAAATTTCTCCACACTGGAAGCCATATCACACGTCCAGTCACTTTTGACGTTATTCGGTGCTTGCGGTCTATACGGAACATTGTAAGGGTTCTCGTTTTTAACGGATCCATAGTTGCTACTTTCCTTCATTATTACCTGCCTTAGACGGGCAATGATTTTGTTTTTGAAATTAGATAACCTGTAATGATATATACATATTAAGTCAGTAATTTATACGGATATAATAAATGCATACCATGTATTATAATATTATATCATAATAATTCATAGTACAAAAGTACAAGTGTACAACAACGTTTAATTACCCGATACCTACACACGCTATATGTTTGAAAATATATTATAATTTTTATATCGTCTAGACTCTTGAGTATATTATAGTAATATACACACCTACTTAATCTATATTATAATTTATAGTTACCTATTGTTTGTAGGTAGTCCGAGTTGTTGGACAAATGTAACATCGTATAAATAATGGGTTTAGCTAGGTATTTATTACCTACTTTAATGACAACTATTTACATTAGATTACAATTTAAACAAAAGATAATTATCTAGATAAGAAATACTGTTATATTATCTTATCCAAATAACTATTGTGTCAGTTATTTAATGGTTATAAGGTTATAACTATCTTATCATTTGACTTAAAACTCCATCAGAAAAATATTAATTTCTCATCAACAATATTTTTATTTATATAATTTAATTCTACTATTAGAAGATAATCCACAAATACCTACACATTATATACTAGAGACTAGACAATTATACAGATAAAGTTGATACTTTTAAGACGTGATTTAACGATTAGACTTTTTTCAAATATTATAACRTGTTTAAGGACGTCTGGTGTACCAAGTGGAAAAACTAAATGCTGAATAATTAGCTGAAAATGGTAAAATTATGATTTCATCCAGTTTTAGATTTTTTATTTGTTTGTTATCACAATAATAATGATTAATATATAAATAGAAATTTACACCGATTAAATATAATATGTAATATATTTTAGAATTCAGATAATTAATATAAATTTTAGATTTAAAGGTTCTGCTTTTAAAATAGATAGTTTGGTATTTAGTTATTTTAAGACCTAATAATTTAATATTAAGATAGAATTACGTCACTTTAACTATACTCAAATCCTCAACAATTTGTATTGTAAAAGTTCAATACCTACATTTTGCATAATGTTTTGTCTAGAATTAGAGAAGAATTGAGTGTTGATTAATGAGTATTGAGTATTTGATATAAAACCAATTGATTAACCTTGGTAAAAATAAAATATATTTTGAATGTTAATGATGCAGTTGATAGTAAAATTGTTGTTCTTCGTTAAATAGTTTATTCGATAATATTCTGAGGTAACTATCAATACTATACCTATTCGTTAATTGAATATTTCTTATGGTAATAATTACTAGGTACTGTGTCACAGTGGAATGTTATAAAAAATATACGTATTACAATTCAAATGGGAATTTATACTGTTTAAAATAAAAGTCATTAAAAATTCTATTTGGTTAAAGTTTTCAAAATTTTTGTAAAATTACCTATTGCGCKTCACATCTACTACCACATCCTGAAATATTTAAATACTAAAATTTCGTGTGAATAGATGTATATAATTATGTTCATTCAGAATAGTTAATTTTGTAATGCTACTGCTGCACCCTTTTAATTAAAAACTATAATTTAAATTCAAACATTTAAATGTATATTAAATTGAAAACTTATAAAAATTGATTACCATTTACCGTTTTAGTAATTCGTTTAATATATTTCGATTAAATTTCAATATGCACATGTCGCCTACACACACAATTTAATTTTTCAGTAAAATCGATTAACATTAATAGTAAATACATACAATATATATATATATATATATATATGTACCTATAGAGTATAGAAATTATAATAAAACAGCATTTGCTTTATTGTTTTCTCGTACATCATAATTCATAATATGATATATTTTTTGTTATCTACGTCGACCACGTGTATAGTTACTACAGAAACATAATAACATATTATAATATAAATATATTATGTAATATATATATATAKGCGTGTTAATATCATGTCTAAACATTCAAGCCGAGGTCAGTCAGCGAATTCAAATTAACATGTGACGTCTTTTTGGATTTTTTTTATGTAGTGAAGGAACCGATTTTAATATCAGTATATTATATCTCACAAACGTTTTATTATCCTTTAACAGACCTGCGAAATACTTCTAACTTCTAAATACACGTCTATGTATACCATAATATTTCATAYATAATTATTAATTTATGTTACCTGCCTGATTCTTTCCGTCTTGTCTAGTAGCGCTTCACTAATCCGCATTAATGGATTTCCGTTTCTCTGATGAGAAGTTGTAAAATCGCCTTCGTCATAATACTCAACATAGGGCTGCTGTTGTGTGTAAGTCAATTCTTGAGTTTGTTGGTTTTTGACACTTATGTGACGCCAATATTGTAGCCAAAGTAGATAAATGTATCCGCACATTCCCAATAGTACGACGTTTAAGAAAAACCATACTGTCAATGCAACCGAGCGCATTTTGATCAAATATTTGTGGTGCGTTTAACTGAAATAGGTATAATTGAAAAATATATATTAAGACTGGTTATAGTGGATAGGGACAGATCCAATGTAAAGATCTGTGGAGGTCGTCATTCATTTATATGTACTCAACACAAAAAATATTTATCTTGTACATTTTTATGTACTAGATAGATGGAATCAAATCTATCATTTTCACTTATTGTTGGATTATCATTTAAAGACGATATAATATACATATAATATATAATATGGATATACAATAAACAACCAAATAAAAAAAAATAAAACGGGGAAAGTAGGTAGGTAACCGCTTTGCTGCGTAAAGCAGGAGTCGAATGTACCTCGTCAGCGAGTAGGTCACTGTAATAGACGAGTTAAATTTGAATTCGATGATAAATTATTGCTCACGAAAAATGACTACCATGAGCGTATAGATGGTAACCTAACGTTAGTTTATTATATTGTAAATATATTGGTATCTATATTATAACTTCATGAATTATAAAATATATGGAATATCATACAGTTAATCTAAATATATTGAAAATGTAATTTTGGATATAAAATGTTAAAATATAGGTAATAATATACATAAAACTGTTAAAGTCTTAAATCTCCACGGTAAGTGTTTTTAAATTAGATACAATTAAATATATAAAACAATTATTCATTATTCTATAATTTTAAACAGATATTAAATTGAGACATTGAGTTGAAAATCTGAATTCGATCTCTATAATAAAGTTATGGTTACAGTAGGTATACAAATCGTATGAGCTACTTATGAGTTATGAAGCTTTGTATAACATTTCCTAGCCTTAACTACAAAAATTGAATATTCTATACATTTTCAAATAAGGACRATATAATTTGCAAATGTTCGTGATTTTTGAAAAATTTGAAAAAATTTGAACTTCAATAATCAATAAAAAACTTATTTAAAAATAAAAATCGGGCTTATAAATCATTATTTTATTTTGTATTGCTATACTTCTATAAATAATTAATTCAAAATTTCACAGATTGAAGTGCAATAAATGCTTGTAGGTATATAGATTTCATTATTTTTACATAGGTACAGTTTAGATTCTGAATGAAGAGATGGAGWAATGGATTAATGGATGTATTGGTTTTACAAATAATATATGTGTTTTTATTTTTATTTTTTGCGTMTCAAAACAGGAGARGGCATTTTGAAAAGACAAAGAATGGACACTTTGACCTTTCACTTTGAAGAAGGTGTTTGGTAGAAAATTAGATCAAGTATGTTATCTTTGGAGCTCAAAAATAGAAATTCCTTAGTACTTTAATAAATAATTTATATGTGTGGGGGAGGGGGGGAGAAGTTACCAACATTTTTAAAAATGCAAATATTATTATTAAAATAATTGCTTGATATTTATGTATTATGTTTACCAAAACGTTAACTTAACCGTTTCTGCATACAATTTTTTTATCGTATATAATAATTTAAAATTGAATTCAATAATTCAAATTTAACACGCCTGTCGCCTAATACAGATACATACTTAATATGCTCGATACCAATTTTAAAGCATAGCTGATAACCCGTTTTTAAATTAGTTTTACCAATAATTAAAATACTAGATTAAATATTTTAAAAACATGTAGAATTGCTTATGGCGAGTTTAATACTTTAATGTGAACTATGACAGGAGGGGGCATAATAGCCACGATTGCATTGGTCCCTGTTAGACTATTATTATAGTTAATGGTACACTGGWACTAGTACTTTTGTCCTTAGTGTGATCATGAAAATAACAAAGTAGTATTATAGATATTGTATATGGTATTTTGTCTTCATTTTCAATGTATTAATATCTAAATTGGCTTATATATACCGTTGTAATAGTATAATTAGGTAAAATATATAGTTAAATATATAATGAGTTATTGATTATAATATGTTATACAACAAAAATACTTGTATATTATGTCGTAATAGAATAGTTGCACACTTGTACCTTACTTACTACAATTTTTTTTTTGCCACAAAAACTTATTTATAATATTATGTATAGGTAGGCATATTATATTATATTATAAATAAGACTTATGTTTTTTTTTTTATAAAAAAATATAAAATTTTATGCTGAAATCGGTAAAATGAATAAACATATACAGTATATCCTTAGCGTTTAGTTATGATTCGAAAAAACGGACCTTACAAATTGAAAAAAAGTATACAATACGTGTTAAATAGTTAATTGAATTCATATAAACGCTGTTTAGTGATCTTTTATTTATGTATAATAGTTTGAGTGATATGTATAAAATACAATAATGCTTATTGCATACCTATTAATTATTATAATTATCAGTACAGCAGTCAATATGTAGTGATGTCTTGGTGCTGCAATGTCAATTAATTTCTTAATCGATCATATTTGTTATATGGAAATAGTTAAGGAACATTTGGTTAACTCATGACGAAAATAATCTAACAAAAATACAAAATGTATCTACAATCTACATAGAACACATTTTTAACATATCAATATGAATGTAATAATATATTTATTATTGTATATTTATAGCCATACCATTCTAAAAATAATTTTCTTTTAATCTAATCATGCTAAATACTTGATTGCGGTTAACTTATAATAAAATAGACGTGTTTTTAGAGTAATAATAAATTGCATGAATCTTTCTGGGCACTTGGGCACCTGGGCACCTGCAGACTACCAATATTTATCGATGATATAAGGTAAGAAATTTAGTATTTATCTACTATAGAATAGATTGTAAATTCAAGACAGGAAATTAATTATTTGGTATCTATAAGTTGTTATACTTATGGATTGATGGACATTTCAAATGTATGAGTATAAAATTATAGTACAGGAACGGATCCATGTTTTTAAGAAATTTATTTCAGAGGGAATATTCAGATAAAATGTATATTGAGCAGTTTACTCTGAACTACGGTTTTACGTACCTACGTACTTACGGCCACACAAAATAAACGTAGAATTCCAATTAGTTTTTCTAATAATTACATTTATCATACGRCACGTGTACATGGTAATTTTATTGTATTATAATCTCGGAGTTATTAATATTATATMGACAAGACAAGTGTTAATAGTTTGATTACACCTACCTCATGTACCATGCACATTAATGTAGGGGCATATAAATCACACGCGAATTAATTGGCAATTAATCGCTTATGTATATAACGCACGAACGAAGTAACTATAATATTATGATATAGGTATATTGATATTATCGAATCCACACATTTTCATTCGATCTTAAATAATAATTCCACGTCGGTTTATATTGTACGGTACTTAACCACTGCACACGGATGCGGTAGTCGTGCGTATGATAACCCGAAAAACGCTTTCCATCGTGGTAGGGTTGCAGCACAGCATCAGTGTATGCAGGATCAATATAAACCGTACTTGCGCCATCCGAAATGCGCATCTGACTTTACATGCAATAGCGACCTGAACGCACGCGCCAGTACGTAATATTATAGGGGAGAAGAAATAATAACTAAATTTATTAGTTATTCATGTCACAGTTACGACGCCATTATATTAATAGTATACACGTGCCTATAATATACTAACACCGGTATAATATACTACTGCAACCACGCTTCGTATTTTAATATTTACATAATAATATTATATAGGCACGGAAATGCTGCACTGAACAAAAGTATGCAGTAGGTATATGGCAGTTGTTAATATACGTTATTAATTATAGGTACTTACGCCAAAATCATTTAAAATCGATTAATGTCAAACAGCAATCATCACAAATGTCATTTCAATCAAAATTACGATATCTTTTATTATTTTTAAAGGCGTTTAAAATTGTTTTCTAGTAAAATAAATCGTTTTAAAAATAATAATTATATTACCCCGCTTATTATTTTTTCTATTATCTTGAATGCATGTTTACCCTAAAATTATAATCGTGATACTCTGATCCTACTAAATTGTTATGATCAAGATATTTTACAACTATTTTGCAATATTTTTTATCGTAGAAAAAGTCAGTGAGATGCACTGAGATTAAACATGAATACTCTTAAAAATTGTTTTTACTTTTGTTATTATTTAAACTAAACTCAGCAAAGTAAAAAGGTTTTATATCAATGTTGT